ATATCTATATTACTGCTATTGCTATAATTCTGTTATGGCATAATATTATATTACTAAAATACTGCAATAAAGGTCAAGAAGAAGCATCTCATCAGCAAAAAAACTAGATTACTATATATTATTTACTAACTAGTGTAGATATATATCAATACTAATCACTTCTGCTGATTTTTATTGATTGTGATTATAATCGATTTATATCTAATTCAATTACAGTTAATATATATCCAATTCAATAGCAATCAATATATATCCAATTCGATTATAATCGATATATATTCAATTCGATAGCAATTGATTTATATTCAATTCAATAGCAATTGATATATATTCAATTTGATAAAAATCAGCAGGGGTGATTAGTATCGATATATATCTACCTAGTTAATAAATGATAAAATTTGATAATGTTCGATATCAATATTAATTGATATATTTCAATATTAACCAATAATTATTTAACGAGATCACAATTAATATATATTCAATTTGATAGTATTCATTTAGAAACTTATTCAATAGCAATCTTTATTTAATTGAAAAAGCTGTCAAAATAAAATTTATTAAAAGCAATTATAAATAATATTTATTACATATGTAATACAAAGCAATGCAAGTAGAATTATACATTAAATATTAACTATTTTAAACTAATATATAAAAAAAAACAGAAAACTATTTGTATGACTGTGTTATTAATCAGCTTCAAATAATTCATCTTGTTCTTCTTGTGAAAGCATACCCAAAGATCTTTTGAAAAAAGATTCATGTATAGCTGAGATTGGTCTCAAACATTTAGCATCATTGAAATATACTAGTTCATCATCATAGAAGCATGCTGTAAGTTTACTATTCATGATTGATTTCGCAGAATTATAACTGGGGCTACCTTGTTCAAAATTATTCTATTTGAATACAATAATAAAAAATAAATATTAATATCATATCTGTCATAAAATGATCGATTGCTAATACTTACTAAATATTACTCAATACAATGCACAATCCAATCCTCTTTACACAAAACACTTCTTGACCATAGATTTGATAAAATATCAAATACTGCTAGAGTAAAGACACAGTGATAGTTTGTCAAGTCTGAAACAGCAGGCATGCTAAAAGCAGTTTATGCAATGATACTAACCCAAAAAAGGCTCTCATCATTTTCTTCAAAAGAGTGTGGTAGTATTTACTAACTTGTGAACTTTGCTTTTATTTTACTATTTTACCAGAAGCTGTATTACTTTTAAGTAGTAGAAGCTTTTCCTGACTGAAAACCTTTCAAATAAACAAGTGGATGTTTTGCAATACTGAGCCACAATAATTTTCATTTTTTGTAAAAGCTATTAAAAAAAATTTAATATATAGTATAGAATATTAATAAATAAACAATTATAATAATTCATATAAAAATTGCTCACTTGACTATACCAGCTACCATGAAACTTGTTAGTAAACTTATTTTTGCTTATACCCAATATGAATTCAGAAAAGTTTTCATTTAAATAATTCTTGAGGGCTTCTTTTAATATACTTTAAGTAGGATAGATGTGTTGAAAAAAAAGATGTTTTATAATGCTAGTATATACTTCTTACAAAATTATTAAAACAAATAACTTAAATACATATTTTATATATATATTACTTGGTTATATTGATATCTTAATAAAAATAAAAAATTATCTGATATATCTAGATATTGGTTTAGCTAGCAGCATTTTTATATTAAGTATATAGATACAAATTGTCAGATGCTGGTATATTCAGATATCAATATAGCCAGAGTGTTTTGTGTTAACAAAACATTTATATTCAATACTTTAGAAAAAAGGTTCTTTTCTTGATCCATCCTTTTGTGCCTCAGTTCCTCCTTAACATAGCAAATAAATTTATTTTTAATCAAGTTCTCAATCATTTACAAATGATCTTAAGCAAACATGGAAAGTGTCTTAAAGATTTTTTAAATATGCTCATCTTATCTATACTTTCTAATTATAAGTTAGACAACAGTTTAATAAAGGAAGAGCTAAATTATGATATTAAAGAACTTACTCAAATAGTTAACAATAGACTTTCTCAATTAAATATAGATTAGCAAGCTATTTTTGATAATATTGTAAAAGCAGTTGAAACTCATACTTCAACTATAATCTTTGTTGATAGTCCAGATAGATTAGGAAAAACATTTTTATACAAGTAAAAAGATTTTTTTCAAATTAAATTTTTTTTCTAAAATTATATAGTATTTTATTTGCACAAATTCAATTGAGTTGACATATCTTACTTGCAATAGTATTATTGAGTATTGTGGCTTTACTTTTACCAGATAGTTAAAACGTGTATTCCTGTTTCAAGATTTCTATTAATATACATAAAGATTCTACTTGTGCAATATCTCATAGTTCAGAGTTAGCAGTACTTCTACAAAAAGTATCTTTTATTGTTTGGAATGGAGTGCCAATAATGAAACACCATGCATTTGAAACTATGGATCAAATTTTATATGATCTTATAAAAGCTATAGACAAAACTCTAGAAAACAAACTATTCAAAGATAAAGTTGTATTGTTAGAAGTAACTTTTGGCAAATTCTTCTGGTGGTGAATAAGGAAGGAAGAGCAGATATTGTAAAAGTCTGTCTATGATAGTCAGTTCTCTAAAAACATGTGAAAGTTGGAAAATTAATAATTAACATGCATCTTTGCCATATTATGAGTGATTCTGATTTTGCTAAACAAGATAATTTTGCTTAATGGTTATTTAAAGTTGGAGAAGAGTATATACCTTTCATTGCTAACTTAATAACAAATACTATTCAACTATCTGAAGATATTTTCTTACTATCTCAAGAGATAAATAATATAATTTATTATATATACTCTAATCTTTCTATGCAAGCAAATCATCAATATTTAGTTGAATGTTCAATACTCATACCTAAAAATGATGATATTAATACTATCAATTCAATTGTTATGAGATAATTTTCTAAAGAAGCAATAGAGTATCTCAATACAGATATAATTGTAGAACAGACTGAAATGAACTATCAGTATTCAATTGAGTTTCTTAATTCTTTAAATATTGAAGGCCTCCTCTTTTATAAATTAGTTTTGAAGTTAAATGCACCAATCATATTACTATGAAATATTTATTTTTTTGATGGACTATATAACAGAACAAGATTAGTTTGTCACAATTTTTAAAAATATGTAATTGAAGCAGAAATTATTACTAAAAAGCATTTTAAAAACTGTTTTTCTTTCTTGTATTATTATATTATCTTCAGACTTGAAGTTATCTTTTGTATTCAAGCATTATCAATTTTTAATATGATCAGCCTTTATGATAATAAATAACAAATCTCAAGAACAAATATTAAATATAGTAGGTTTATATCTTCTAATATCTGTTTTTACTTATAGCCAATTATATGTAGCCTGCTCAAGAGTGATTTCACAAAGAAATTTAAAAATTCTTGCTATTAACTGGGATGAAGAGAATTTTAGACAGACCGAACATATGTGTAATATTGTATTCCCTAAGATCTTTCAATAAAGTTTTAATAATTGTTAAAAATCATATTAATTATTTTATATAATTCATAAATCTTTGATAGTCTAACAAATTGATTATTAATCAAAATTAGCATTGAATATAGGATAGCTAAAGCTATATACCACATGATTTTGATATTTTAATCATTTTAAATAAAATTTAGTTTAGAATTAGAGTTAGTTTGGTGTTAATATAAGAGAGATATAGATAAAATTATCTTTCTGATATTTTTAATTAGTGTCACCAAAACTGCTATTGTTAACTTTTTGCAGTTTAGTTATTTTTTGACTTTTTTATGCTGATCTGTTAAACAAAATTTCATATTTTCAGTTGGTTGGTTTTACAAAAAAGTGTGAGTACATGGCTTTAGATGATTCTATTAAATAGTAATACAAATAAGATAGAAAGATATTAGAATACTACTTATTAAACTTTATTATATAACTTCATGAACATGCTTGTCAGTGAAGTCATGTGATTATTTTTAATAAATGTATTTGACAACTTTATAAATAAATATTAATATTGTATTTGTGTTTTCTTTACTATAAAAATTACGTAAATTAGATAATCAGTTGAGATAACTATTATTATATAATTAACAACTTTGTATTAGCTTAGAGCTACTTTTAAATTTTAAAATAGTTGTATCAGTATAGTTTATATACTGTCAGCACAAATAACAAATTATATACTAGTTACCTTTAAAAATATCTACAAGTGACTTATCTTATTAAATACTACTAAGCTAACTTAAAAAACTTATCTAACTACTCTATAATAAGATATTACTAATCTAATAATATTTTTTTATAGAGAAGTAAAAAAAATGCTAATATTAATATTAAAATTAAAAAAAAAAAAACAAATAAAAAAACTAGATAGTTACTATTATAAGACTGTATTAAATTTAAAAAATAATATATTATAAGATAAAAACTCTATATCTAATTTTATTATAATAATATTTACAAAAAATAAAACTAAACTAGTAAAACTAAACAGAATAATTAAAATCACACTAATAGTCTTATAATATTAAACAGTTTTTTAATAGTTGAATTATATGTATATTTTATATTATCTTCTAATTACTATATTTATTAAAGTAAATATTCTATTTTGATAATAAACTATTTTAAAAAATTATATATTGATCTTTTGAAAAAATAAGCTAAAATACCTACTTTTTGACAAAATTTTCTTAAAAACAGTAGTAGGTTAACAAAACTTTTGTATATTGTTTCTTGTAAGTTTTTTTTTTTTTTTCAGTGATCCTGCTTTTATTATTTAAATCGGAAGTACTAGAACTTTATATTCATATTAAATATAAATTTTTTATACTATATTTCTGTACTAATAAAACTCACTTGACTATAAAAGCCCAGGTGCGACCTGTCTAAACAGCCAATTTACCTCACATTGGATCCTCAACTTGCTGAGGATTTAATCTCTCTGATTCTTGGTTAGAAGCTGCTGACCTTGTTAGTGATTACTAAATTTTTTCCAATATGCTGCAGCCAAGGCCTTGACTTGTGGTTTGATTACAAATATCCTCAGTGACTGCTCTATTGATAAGAATTATATATTTTTCTTTATTAACTATCTTTTCTAAATTATATATCATATTTCTTTCATTTTTCTTCTTTTGCTTAAGCTTGTTAAGTTCTTCTATCTTCGTAGTCTCTTGAAAGGTCTTCTTTTTCTTCTTTTTCTTTCGATTCTTCCAGCTTAGTTTCCTTTTCTTTCTTCTCTTTTGGACTTGCATTCAGGCTCAAATTCATCTTCTTTGTGCTAGGGCTTGAATTCATCTTCTCTTTGATAATCTGGCTTGTCTTCTGTAATCTTGTGACTCTAGTTTGTCTAATACTTCTTCTTGACTTCCTGTTGCTTTGATTTATGTATTTCTTTTCCAAGTGTATCTTCTTTTTCCTTTTTTGGTTTCATTATTCTGATCTTCTAAATTGGTTGTATACTGTTTTTCTTCTTTCCTTCTATTTGTCTGCTTTGCTTCTTTTTTTCTTTCTTTTTCTGAAAGTTCATCTTTTTTATCAAAAATTATTGTTACTTTTTGTGTACTGTTATTTTGTAAGTTTATCTTTTCTCTAGATGCTTCTTTTTTCTTCTTCTTTTTTCACTTTACTGTTCTTTTCATTTTTTTCAGTAAAGCCTTGGTGTTCTTTTTTGTTTCTTTTCTAGCAGTTTCTATTTTTTTAGTATTGGGTAATATACTTGTTTCTTCTCTCTGAATTTTTTTCTTCTTCTATTTCTAGGTCTATGTTTTTTTTTGCTTCACTCTTCCTGGTAATTGCACTGCTATTCTGATTCATATACTCAACAATATAATCAAAGAAGCCTCATGTAATTCAAAAGAGCTTTGGCTTTTATCTCAGGATATGATTCGCTACATTTCTTTTGTACTAGGTTCTAGGTTATTCCAAATTTCTTTTAAGTTGTTGTTGCTTCCCATAATTAGATCCCAGTCTTCTTGTTTCTTTTTCAGTTTCTCTAAGACTCTTTGTAAATCCTGTATTTCTACTATGATTTTTGCATTTATTATTTCTCCATAAGTTATACTTTGCTTTGCTCTAATTATGCTATATTGTGCTTCCTCATTAATTTTTTCCAAGACTTTCTTCATTTTAATATTTTCTATATTATTTTCTATGATTTTTTTTGTTTCTGTTTTATTGGCCATTTCTTGTTTTCTTTTTTCTTTCTTGCAAGTTTTTTTAGTGTTTTTTTTTGCCTTGGACTTGAATTTTCTAACCAATTCTTGTATCGTTTTCTTGTTTTTCTTAACTTGTTTGTTTCTTCTTCACTTGTTTAAATTTTCTATACAATGTTTTTCTAATCTTTTCTCATATTATTCTTTTTGTAATAGTAAGCATTCTATCATAATATCTAGTACATAGATGTTTGGTTTTGTAATATTTGGTAAAAGGATCTCAATTTTGTTCTTTACAATATAGATTGATATCTGTAATCTAACTCTTCTTCTATATCTTTGCTGTATTGTTTTCTATATTTCTACTTATATTTTGCTAACTCTTCTTTGTCTACTTCTGCTAATAGATTCTCTAATACACATCTTGCTGCTGCTAAAATTGGTTGTTCTCGTATATTTCCAGAAATTTCTATTTTAATTTGCTTCATATGATTTGACTTCTCTATTGTTGTTATTTTCCTTGTTGTATTCATCACATGTTGCTTTATGTGTTTGTATTGTTTTCTTTTTGTTACGTGTTGCATGGTTGTATCATATCAACAGATCTATACTACAGGATCAAGTGCTTTCCCCAAAAAATTGCTTACAGATAATGAAAAACTGCTGTATTTCCAAGTTTTTCTTCTATATCTCGATAGGTTTTGATTTCTCAACTCTAGTCTCCTAAGAGACAGAGTGTTGTTTTATGTCTTCCTTCTTTTTACTTAGTTGTGTAAGCTTTGCTTCTTAGTGCTATTTTTGAGTTCTGTTGATCTTGTGTTTTTGTTTTTCTGTAAAAATTTGTGTTTTAATGATCAGCAGAAAGAGTTCTGTTGGTTTCTTGTAAGTTTTATAATTATATAAAAATAGTTTTTAGCTACTAGTATCCTTAATTTCAACCTAATTATTATATATTTTCAAAATATTTTTCTAGGTTGAATGCTAAATATATAAGAAAGTCTGCTAACCAAAGTTTGAATCTAACAAAAACTGTTTAAGCATATTCGATTTCTTAGCATTTCAAGTCTTGTAATTAAAAAAAAAACAAACCAATTAAACCATATATTGTTTCTTAAATTAAATAAGAACAATTGATTCACCTACAAGTACTCAAATAAAAAATTTAATATTATTAACAATATAAACTCAGAATCCTATAAAGTTATATTTTAAAAAGCTTTTAAATTAGCTTTAAACAATTTTAATAAGTATATTACAGAGCACTCAGTATTTATATTATTTAAAACTATTCAGTATGTTGAATCTCAATGAATTCAACAAAAACTGCTAGAAAAATCTTACTTTATATTTAGTAATTCCCGGATTTAATAAAACCAATAATCAATTAATTCAAGAATAGGAAATATATTGTGATGGAAATGAAAATTTTAAACCAGATTTTGTTTTAGAAAAATATTGGCTAGAAAAAACTTGGTTTATTACCTCATTTAAGTAGAATAGTTTTAAAATATATTTGGATTCCGATCTCTGGTGTCGATGTAGAATATAGTTTTTCAGTATACAAAATATTTTATCAGATAACATGCACTTTCTTCTAAAACAATTGAAATATTAAACAGGCTATATTTAATCAAATTGATGATTAATATTAGTAAAAAATAAATTAGCAAAAACGCATATTTTACATAGTTTGTAATATAATGCATAACTAAGCATAATTTAAATTTAAAAACGACATAATTCGCATAATTTGTAATTTGGCGCATACATAATTTGGCATAATTCTGAACACTCTAATCCTTCAGCTAATTTTTATCAGGTGTTTCAGAAATTATGATAATAACTGATAAAAAATCTTAACGTGTCGTAAAGGTAAATAATTAAATATAATTATTGCAAAAACTAGATTTCGTAATTTGACATGCCACTTAGCAAAATCTTGATCCTGGCTAGCTGAGAACATTTCTTATTACACTACACATTCTCTACCTGATTCTATATGACACAGCTTCTAATTTGTTAACTCTATTCCTTTTTTTTATTGATCTATTGTAATACGAGTCTGCCAAAAAATTATGACGTTTTTAAATTTAAATTATGCTTAGTTATGCATTATATTACAAACTATGTAAAATATGCGTTTTTGCTAATTTATTTTTTACTAATATTAATCATCAATTTGATTAAATATAGCCTGTTTAATATTTCAATTGTTTTAGAAGAAAGTGCATGTTATCTGATAAAATATTTTGTATACTGAAAAACTATATTCTACATCGACACCAGAGATCGGAATCCAAATATATTTTAAAACTATTCTACTTAAATGAGGTAATAAACCAAGTTTTTTCTAGCCAATATTTTTCTAAAACAAAATCTGGTTTAAAATTTTCATTTCCATCACAATATATTTCCTATTCTTGAATTAATTGATTATTGGTTTTATTAAATCCGGGAATTACTAAATATAAAGTAAGATTTTTCTAGCAGTTTTTGTTGAATTCATTGAGATTCAACATACTGAATAGTTTTAAATAATATAAATACTGAGTGCTCTGTAATATACTTATTAAAATTGTTTAAAGCTAATTTAAAAGCTTTTTAAAATATAACTTTATAGGATTCTGAGTTTATATTGTTAATAATATTAAATTTTTTATTTGAGTACTTGTAGGTGAATCAATTGTTCTTATTTAATTTAAGAAACAATATATGGTTTAATTGGTTTGTTTTTTTTTTAATTACAAGACTTGAAATGCTAAGAAATCGAATATGCTTAAACAGTTTTTGTTAGATTCAAACTTTGGTTAGCAGACTTTCTTATATATTTAGCATTCAACCTAGAAAAATATTTTGAAAATATATAATAATTAGGTTGAAATTAAGGATACTAGTAGCTAAAAACTATTTTTATATAATTATAAAACTTACAAGAAACCAACAGAACTCTTTCTGCTGATCATTAAAACACAAATTTTTACAGAAAAACAAAAACACAAGATCAACAGAACTCAAAAATAGCACTAAGAAGCAAAGCTTACACAACTAAGTAAAAAGAAGGAAGACATAAAACAACACTCTGTCTCTTAGGAGACTAGAGTTGAGAAATCAAAACCTATCGAGATATAGAAGAAAAACTTGGAAATACAGCAGTTTTTCATTATCTGTAAGCAATTTTTTGGGGAAAGCACTTGATCCTGTAGTATAGATCTGTTGATATGATACAACCATGCAACACGTAACAAAAAGAAAACAATACAAACACATAAAGCAACATGTGATGAATACAACAAGGAAAATAACAACAATAGAGAAGTCAAATCATATGAAGCAAATTAAAATAGAAATTTCTGGAAATATACGAGAACAACCAATTTTAGCAGCAGCAAGATGTGTATTAGAGAATCTATTAGCAGAAGTAGACAAAGAAGAGTTAGCAAAATATAAGTAGAAATATAGAAAACAATACAGCAAAGATATAGAAGAAGAGTTAGATTACAGATATCAATCTATATTGTAAAGAACAAAATTGAGATCCTTTTACCAAATATTACAAAACCAAACATCTATGTACTAGATATTATGATAGAATGCTTACTATTACAAAAAGAATAATATGAGAAAAGATTAGAAAAACATTGTATAGAAAATTTAAACAAGTGAAGAAGAAACAAACAAGTTAAGAAAAACAAGAAAACGATACAAGAATTGGTTAGAAAATTCAAGTCCAAGGCAAAAAAAAACACTAAAAAAACTTGCAAGAAAGAAAAAAGAAAACAAGAAATGGCCAATAAAACAGAAACAAAAAAAATCATAGAAAATAATATAGAAAATATTAAAATGAAGAAAGTCTTGGAAAAAATTAATGAGGAAGCACAATATAGCATAATTAGAGCAAAGCAAAGTATAACTTATGGAGAAATAATAAATGCAAAAATCATAGTAGAAATACAGGATTTACAAAGAGTCTTAGAGAAACTGAAAAAGAAACAAGAAGACTGGGATCTAATTATGGGAAGCAACAACAACTTAAAAGAAATTTGGAATAACCTAGAACCTAGTACAAAAGAAATGTAGCGAATCATATCCTGAGATAAAAGCCAAAGCTCTTTTGAATTACATGAGGCTTCTTTGATTATATTGTTGAGTATATGAATCAGAATAGCAGTGCAATTACCAGGAAGAGTGAAGCAAAAAAAAACATAGACCTAGAAATAGAAGAAGAAAAAAATTCAGAGAGAAGAAACAAGTATATTACCCAATACTAAAAAAATAGAAACTGCTAGAAAAGAAACAAAAAAGAACACCAAGGCTTTACTGAAAAAAATGAAAAGAACAGTAAAGTGAAAAAAGAAGAAGAAAAAAGAAGCATCTAGAGAAAAGATAAACTTACAAAATAACAGTACACAAAAAGTAACAATAATTTTTGATAAAAAAGATGAACTTTCAGAAAAAGAAAGAAAAAAAGAAGCAAAGCAGACAAATAGAAGGAAAGAAGAAAAACAGTATACAACCAATTTAGAAGATCAGAATAATGAAACCAAAAAAGGAAAAAGAAGATACACTTGGAAAAGAAATACATAAATCAAAGCAACAGGAAGTCAAGAAGAAGTATTAGACAAACTAGAGTCACAAGATTACAGAAGACAAGCCAGATTATCAAAGAGAAGATGAATTCAAGCCCTAGCACAAAGAAGATGAATTTGAGCCTGAATGCAAGTCCAAAAGAGAAGAAAGAAAAGGAAACTAAGCTGGAAGAATCGAAAGAAAAAGAAGAAAAAGAAGACCTTTCAAGAGACTACGAAGATAGAAGAACTTAACAAGCTTAAGCAAAAGAAGAAAAATGAAAGAAATATGATATATAATTTAGAAAAGATAGTTAATAAAGAAAAATATATAATTCTTATCAATAGAGCAGTCACTGAGGATATTTGTAATCAAACCACAAGTCAAGGCCTTGGCTGCAGCATATTGGAAAAAATTTAGTAATCACTAACAAGGTCAGCAGCTTCTAACCAAGAATCAGAGAGATTAAATCCTCAGCAAGTTGAGGATCCAATGTGAGGTAAATTGGCTGTTTAGACAGGTCGCACCTGGGCTTTTATAGTCAAGTGAGTTTTATTAGTACAGAAATATAGTATAAAAAATTTATATTTAATATGAATATAAAGTTCTAGTACTTCCGATTTAAATAATAAAAGCAGGATCACTGAAAAAAAAAAAAAAACTTACAAGAAACAATATACAAAAGTTTTGTTAACCTACTACTGTTTTTAAGAAAATTTTGTCAAAAAGTAGGTATTTTAGCTTATTTTTTCAAAAGATCAATATATAATTTTTTAAAATAGTTTATTATCAAAATAGAATATTTACTTTAATAAATATAGTAATTAGAAGATAATATAAAATATACATATAATTCAACTATTAAAAAACTGTTTAATATTATAAGACTATTAGTGTGATTTTAATTATTCTGTTTAGTTTTACTAGTTTAGTTTTATTTTTTGTAAATATTATTATAATAAAATTAGATATAGAGTTTTTATCTTATAATATATTATTTTTTAAATTTAATACAGTCTTATAATAGTAACTATCTAGTTTTTTTATTTGTTTTTTTTTTTTTAATTTTAATATTAATATTAGCATTTTTTTTACTTCTCTATAAAAAAATATTATTAGATTAGTAATATCTTATTATAGAGTAGTTAGATAAGTTTTTTAAGTTAGCTTAGTAGTATTTAATAAGATAAGTCACTTGTAGATATTTTTAAAGGTAACTAGTATATAATTTGTTATTTGTGCTGACAGTATATAAACTATACTGATACAACTATTTTAAAATTTAAAAGTAGCTCTAAGCTAATACAAAGTTGTTAATTATATAATAATAGTTATCTCAACTGATTATCTAATTTACGTAATTTTTATAGTAAAGAAAACACAAATACAATATTAATATTTATTTATAAAGTTGTCAAATACATTTATTAAAAATAATCACATGACTTCACTGACAAGCATGTTCATGAAGTTATATAATAAAGTTTAATAAGTAGTATTCTAATATCTTTCTATCTTATTTGTATTACTATTTAATAGAATCATCTAAAGCCATGTACTCACACTTTTTTGTAAAACCAACCAACTGAAAATATGAAATTTTGTTTAACAGATCAGCATAAAAAAGTCAAAAAATAACTAAACTGCAAAAAGTTAACAATAGCAGTTTTGGTGACACTAATTAAAAATATCAGAAAGATAATTTTATCTATATCTCTCTTATATTAACACCAAACTAACTCTAATTCTAAACTAAATTTTATTTAAAATGATTAAAATATCAAAATCATGTGGTATATAGCTTTAGCTATCCTATATTCAATGCTAATTTTGATTAATAATCAATTTGTTAGACTATCAAAGATTTATGAATTATATAAAATAATTAATATGATTTTTAACAATTATTAAAACTTTATTGAAAGATCTTAGGGAATACAATATTACACATATGTTCGGTCTGTCTAAAATTCTCTTCATCCCAGTTAATAGCAAGAATTTTTAAATTTCTTTGTGAAATCACTCTTGAGCAGGCTACATATAATTGGCTATAAGTAAAAACAGATATTAGAAGATATAAACCTACTATATTTAATATTTGTTCTTGAGATTTGTTATTTATTATCATAAAGGCTGATCATATTAAAAATTGATAATGCTTGAATACAAAAGATAACTTCAAGTCTGAAGATAATATAATAATACAAGAAAGAAAAACAGTTTTTAAAATGCTTTTTAGTAATAATTTCTGCTTCAATTACATATTTTTAAAAATTGTGACAAACTAATCTTGTTCTGTTATATAGTCCATCAAAAAAATAAATATTTCATAGTAATATGATTGGTGCATTTAACTTCAAAACTAATTTATAAAAGAGGAGGCCTTCAATATTTAAAGAATTAAGAAACTCAATTGAATACTGATAGTTCATTTCAGTCTGTTCTACAATTATATCTGTATTGAGATACTCTATTGCTTCTTTAGAAAATTATCTCATAACAATTGAATTGATAGTATTAATATCATCATTTTTAGGTATGAGTATTGAACATTCAACTAAATATTGATGATTTGCTTGCATAGAAAGATTAGAGTATATATAATAAATTATATTATTTATCTCTTGAGATAGTAAGAAAATATCTTCAGATAGTTGAATAGTATTTGTTATTAAGTTAGCAATGAAAGGTATATACTCTTCTCCAACTTTAAATAACCATTAAGCAAAATTATCTTGTTTAGCAAAATCAGAATCACTCATAATATGGCAAAGATGCATGTTAATTATTAATTTTCCAACTTTCACATGTTTTTAGAGAACTGACTATCATAGACAGACTTTTACAATATCTGCTCTTCCTTCCTTATTCACCACCAGAAGAATTTGCCAAAAGTTACTTCTAACAATACAACTTTATCTTTGAATAGTTTGTTTTCTAGAGTTTTGTCTATAGCTTTTATAAGATCATATAAAATTTGATCCATAGTTTCAAATGCATGGTGTTTCATTATTGGCACTCCATTCCAAACAATAAAAGATACTTTTTGTAGAAGTACTGCTAACTCTGAACTATGAGATATTGCACAAGTAGAATCTTTATGTATATTAATAGAAATCTTGAAACAGGAATACACGTTTTAACTATCTGGTAAAAGTAAAGCCACAATACTCAATAATACTATTGCAAGTAAGATATGTCAACTCAATTGAATTTGTGCAAATAAAATACTATATAATTTTAGAAAAAAAATTTAATTTGAAAAAAATCTTTTTACTTGTATAAAAATGTTTTTCCTAATCTATCTGGACTATCAACAAAGATTATAGTTGAAGTATGAGTTTCAACTGCTTTTACAATATTATCAAAAATAGCTTGCTAATCTATATTTAATTGAGAAAGTCTATTGTTAACTATTTGAGTAAGTTCTTTAATATCATAATTTAGCTCTTCCTTTATTAAACTGTTGTCTAACTTATAATTAGAAAGTATAGATAAGATGAGCATATTTAAAAAATCTTTAAGACACTTTCCATGTTTGCTTAAGATCATTTGTAAATGATTGAGAACTTGATTAAAAATAAATTTATTTGCTATGTTAAGGAGGAACTGAGGCACAAAAGGATGGATCAAGAAAAGAACCTTTTTTCTAAAGTATTGAATATAAATGTTTTGTTAACACAAAACACTCTGGCTATATTGATATCTGAATATACCAGCATCTGACAATTTGTATCTATATACTTAATATAAAAATGCTGCTAGCTAAACCAATATCTAGATATATCAGATAATTTTTTATTTTTATTAAGATATCAATATAACCAAGTAATATATATATAAAATATGTATTTAAGTTATTTGTTTTAATAATTTTGTAAGAAGTATATACTAGCATTATAAAACATCTTTTTTTTCAACACATCTATCCTACTTAAAGTATATTAAAAGAAGCCCTCAAGAATTATTTAAATGAAAACTTTTCTGAATTCATATTGGGTATAAGCAAAAATAAGTTTACTAACAAGTTTCATGGTAGCTGGTATAGTCAAGTGAGCAATTTTTATATGAATTATTATAATTGTTTATTTATTAATATTCTATACTATATATTAAATTTTTTTTAATAGCTTTTACAAAAAATGAAAATTATTGTGGCTCAGTATTGCAAAACATCCACTTGTTTATTTGAAAGGTTTTCAGTCAGGAAAAGCTTCTACTACTTAAAAGTAATACAGCTTCTGGTAAAATAGTAAAATAAAAGCAAAGTTCACAAGTTAGTAAATACTACCACACTCTTTTGAAGAAAATGATGAGAGCCTTTTTTGGGTTAGTATCATTGCATAAACTGCTTTTAGCATGCCTGCTGTTTCAGACTTGACAAACTATCACTGTGTCTTTACTCTAGCAGTATTTGATATTTTATCAAATCTATGGTCAAGAAGTGTTTTGTGTAAAGAGGATTGGATTGTGCATTGTATTGAGTAATATTTAGTAAGTATTAGCAATCGATCATTTTATGACAGATATGATATTAATATTTATTTTTTATTATTGTATTCAAATAGAATAATTTTGAACAAGGTAGCCCCAGTTATAATTCTGCGAAATCAATCATGAATAGTAAACTTACAGCATGCTTCTATGATGATGAACTAGTATATTTCAATGATGCTAAATGTTTGAGACCAATCTCAGCTATACATGAATCTTTTTTCAAAAGATCTTTGGGTATGCTTTCACAAGAAGAACAAGATGAATTATTTGAAGCTGATTAATAACACAGTCATACAAATAGTTTTCTGTTTTTTTTTATATATTAGTTTAAAATAGTTAATATTTAATGTATAATTCTACTTGCATTGCTTTGTATTACATATGTAATAAATATTATTTATAATTGCTTTTAATAAATTTTATTTTGACAGCTTTTTCAATTAAATAAAGATTGCTATTGAATAAGTTTCTAAATGAATACTATCAAATTGAATATATATTAATTGTGATCTCGTTAAATAATTATTGGTTAATATTGAAATATATCAATTAATATTGATATCGAACATTATCAAATTTTATCATTTATTAACTAGGTAGATATATATCGATACTAATCACCCCTGCTGATTTTTATCAAATTGAATATATATCAATTGCTATTGAATTGAATATAAATCAATTGCTATCGAATTGAATATATATCGATTATAATCGAATTGGATATATATTGATTGCTATTGAATTGGATATATATTAACTGTAATTGAATTAGATATAAATCGATTATAATCACAATCAATAAAAATCAGCAGAAGTGATTAGTATTGATATATATCTACACTAGTTAGTAAATAATATATAGTAATCTAGTTTTTTTGCTGATGAGATGCTTCTTCTTGACCTTTATTGCAGTATTTTAGTAATATAATATTATGCCATAACAGAATTATAGCAATAGCAGTAATATAGATAT